TGCCTCACTGATACGCCAACACTGATCACCAGGAATGAACTTTTATCCAGTCGCTAGTTATCTCAAGTCTCAATATTCCCATCTAAACTCTACGGTATAGCATCTGAGCTATCCTCAGTCCTTTTTTAAAAGATTTTTTTATTTTCTTAGATAGGGTGTCACTAAATTGCCCAGCTTGGCCTTGATCATGTATTCCTCCTGCCTCAGCCTTCTGAGTAGCTGGGATTACAGGGGTGTACCACCATGCCTGGCTGGCATAGCATCTTTCTAAAACAAAGCATGGGCTTCCCCCTCCAGCAGAGAGAAGAAGCATCACTGAAGCTTGACCACGGCCACTGCAGTACCTTACCTTTTGACCTTGGCAGGTCACTTTCTCTGACCTCAATGACCTAGGCTGTAGAGCAGGACCACCCTGCACATTTGGCAGAGCTGCTGCAGACACTACATATAAGCACCTGGAACAGAGCAGCCAGGTGCTCGCTATACACAGGCTGCCAAAATGGTTTTCTTTTTTTTTTTTTTTTTTGGTTTTTCTCCAGTACCGGGAACCGAACTCACGACCTTGCGCTTGCCACACAGGCGCTTTTGCCGCTGAGCTAAATCCCCAGCCCCAAAATGGTTTTCTTGATGATTCAGATTTATACTGTGAACATCAATCACTGTTCCATGCCTGCTTTCTGCTTATCTTCCTCCTCATTTGGAGTTGCCCAGAAAGCTAAGCTGACCATTATTTTGACTTCCTGACTATACTGCCAGGAAGTCTCTCCCTCCTGCTCCTAAGATAACCCAGAGGGAAGATAAGAACCTGGAAAAAGCCTTGGGCCAGTTCTAGCTCCTGTTGCTTCCACCAAGATGCCAGAAGAAACCCCTAGAACAAAATTTCCAGCAAGTCGTAATGGCACTGGGAAAGGGTGGGCTCACTGGCCCTTCCTGTAAATGCGACAGACATATGGTGGTAGTTTTGCAGTTGAGCATGTAGTCTCAGCACTTGCAAAGGCAGGAGGATCATTGAGGTTGAGGCCAGCCTGGGCTACATACTCTGTTTCTAGGGGAAAAACTGAGTTAGAATCCCAGCTCTACCACATATCTACCTAATGAACCAGGGGCAAGTTAATCAATCTCTCTTAGCCTTTATTTGCCAAACATGAAGTGGTGATGGTATTCTTAGTTTCTATGGACATGACAAGCCATGAATAAGAAGCATAGGCACCATCTCCTCCTTTCCTTAAGCAAGAACTTCCTTTTTTTTGAGACAGGGTCTCACTATGTAGTGCAGGCTGGCCTTAAATTCGCTTACGTAGCCCAAGCTAGCCTCACACTCACAGTGATCCTCCTGTCTCAGCCTCCCAACTGCTGGGATTACAAGCATGTGTAATGGTCTTGGCTCCCTGTCTTTTAAAAATTTTTATACATTTTTATTTATTTTGAGACAGGGTCTCACTAAGTCATAAGTTGTGCAGACTAGTCTTGAAGCTCCTGGGGTTATAGGCATGCATCAGCATTTCTGGCTCTGAGAACCTTCATTCTTATTGCTACCTAGCTTCTTCCTTTAGGAAACAAGAGCAGTGACAGCCCTAGAACATGTGTAAACAGTAAACAGTGAACAGTAAACTTTACTTAGTTGCTAGCTAATGGTCCTTCACGCCACGACCATCTCACTCCTGGCCTTGAGAACCACAGCCAAAGAATCATTCAACCATAGCTGCCCACAACAGGTGTTGCAGCAGGTGAGATGGGGCAGATCTGTGCATCCACCCACCAGCTCCTGGCCTTTGGGGCAGAATTCAGCTTCTCACTCCTCACAGTCCCCAGGTGGCAGCTGGGTGGGCGGGCAGGCCTGCTGCAGTCTTCCTCAGCTGCAGGAAGTCTCTGGTGGTTAAGACCGTGGGTGGAACCTAGGAGAAAGCTTATGCAAAACTGCACGTAGTTCAGTCTTTGCTGTTTGCTTCTTAAAGGGATCAGGGATAAGCAGGCTGCTTCCTCTTTATTGTATATCAGATTTAAGTTAGCCAAAATGAGGGCCTATCTGAGGAGGGGGAGGAAGACAACACAGGACGGAGAGGAGGGGAAAGTGGGAGGGCAAGAGGAGAAGGAAAGGGATAAGGAGGACAGAGAAACTGGGGAGAGAGGAGGCACACGATGGAGAGAAAGGACAGGGGAAAGGGAGTGAAGGAAAAAAGGAGAGGACAAGAGAAGGAGAAACAGAAAATGTGGGGGCACCATGATCACTAAAGGAGAGGCAAGAAGAAAGAAATGGTCAGCACTTCACTGATACACAGAATTGCTAGGTCCAAAAAAGTAATTCTAAGACTTGGGTAAGTTTATAAGCAATGGCACGGGCAGGGTTTGAGCTTCAGCCAAGGTAACCACAAGAGGTTTCAGCCTGGGCTGGGGGGTCACACTTTCAGACCCGCCTTCCCCAGTCACCCTGCCAAGAGAAGAGCCTCCTTCCAAGGGCTGAGCAGGTGGGGGAACTGTCCACTCCCCTAGTGCTGAAATAGCCAGGTGATCACTGGCCACTCAGGCAGAGCCTTGCACACACCCTACAACTACTTAAACACCTACTGTATGCCAGGCACTATCCCAAGCACTAGGGAAATCAGCACGAAATAAAACAAAAATCTCTGTCTTTGTGAAATTTATAGTGTAGTGGCCCAAACCACTGAAGTGTAGTAATTTGAGACACTGGACTCTGCCTCATCACTGGGTTAATTTGGATAACCCACCCTCTCACTCTGGCCTCAGTATATTTGTCTATAAAATAGGGGCAATGGGGCTGAGGATATAGCTCAGCGGCACAGCGCCTGCCTGGCAAGCACAAGGTCCTGAGTTTGATTCCCAGTAGCAAAAAAAAAAGTGTGAAAAAAAAAAAAAAAAAAAAAAAGGAACACTAAAAAGCCAGGCACAATGGTGCTTGCCTATCCTCCAGTGGCTTGAGATGGAGGCAAGAGGATAGCAAGTTCAAGGTCAACCTGGGCAATTAAGTGAGAAAATCTTAAAATGGCTGAGGGTATAGCTCGGTAGTAGAGTGTGAGGCCCTGGGTTCTGTCACCATTTCCACAGTAAGTACATAAAATAGGAACAGTGATCCTTGACTAGTGAAAGGTTCAAGGAGATTCCAAGGAGAGTGTGGTGTGTGAGTTCTCTCTGCTGTACACATGGGAGGGAAGGGATTCCCTCTCAGCAAAGTCTTGTTCTTCTGAGTCCCCAGCAATCACCAGAGGGTCTGCCCTACTCCCTTCATTGCTTAATGGTGAGCGGCAGCAGAGCCTGGTGGATATTCGCAGGAGCTGATGGCTTTATCCTTCACCCTACAAGCATGCTCCTGAAAAGGACCAGCCATGGGATTCAAGGGAGCCAGAGAGCAGCCTATGGACAGCAGAAGCTGAGGCCCAATTCTGCGTAGGTCCTCCAGTGTAGGCCACTGGAACCTGGTCCTGGAGGACACTTGGGAGTGAGAAGGGTATGAGAGCAAATCAGTCTGGAAGACTCGGCACAATCTACCTGCCTCTGTGAGATTTCTACTGCTCATGACGAAGGCCAGGCTTTAGGAAGATCTGCTCCAAGAACCCTGGCTACCAACTTTGGCCATGACATTTCCTCTTGTTTTGCAGGAACACCTATCATGTTAATCAGCTTTCTGTTAGTCTAACGAATAGCTGAGATCATCAATTTATGAAGAGAAAAGGGTTATTTTGGCAGTTCCAGGTGACATCAGTTGGCTTTGTTGCTCTAGGCCTGTAGTGGAGTAGCATATCAACGCAGGAGTATCTGATGAAGTAAACCCACCCACCTCATGGCTAGGAAGCAGTAGAGAGGAAGAAGAGACCTTGTCTCAAAAGGGACTGGGTTTCACAGTCCCTTATGCGGGCACACCCATAATGCTCAGCATGGAGATATATGCCTGTAATTCCAGCATTCTGGGAGGCAGAGGCAGGAGGATTTGAAGTTCAATCCTACCCTACACAACTTAGTAACTCAGTGAGATCCTGTCTCAGAAGGGACCAAGGTCCCCAGAATCAAGTTTGGGGGCATATGCATAATGCCTAAAGATATCCTATTAACCCCCACCTCTTAAAGATTCTACCACCTTCCAAGAGTGGCACCATGAGGACCAAGACTTTACACATGCAGGGCATTCACAATCCAAACCATAGCACTTAACATCACCCTGAAAGTGCCTTGGGAAATGTGGGGTGGAGATTTAGGGGAGGCTGAGAATCTTTGTTTCAGGGAGGCAATTAGGGGATTTGTGGGGTTCTGTATCTCTGCATTTAGTGTGCGCCTATCACATAAAGTGCTCAATAGGCAACTGATGGATGGACAGATGTACGAATGAACGAACAAATGAATGAATATGTTGTTTTACTCACTTCCAAATGGTAATAATTATAGGAAGGGAGGGGAGAGTGAATCAAACCCCAAAGATTTAGGCAGATCATTGCTAGTTCCCTGGAGACCACAAGTTTGGCTGAAGAACTGAGATAATTCATTCACTGACACATCCACTCATACAACAGCACAACCTGATAAGTGCAGTACTAGGGTTTATCACTGGAGACCATGAGAACACCCAGGAAGGGATAATTAACTAAATATGGGGGTGAAGGAGGCCAAGGACGGCTTTCAGCAGAAGCCTAAAGGGCCTTCTTGGGGGAACTGACTTGAAGGTTTTAGCCCTCATGCCAGTTTTCCAGCCACACAAATCATGCTTAGAGCTTCTCAGAATTCATAGGCAGCTGCAAATAGGATGGCGGTGGTCCCTTAGTCCCAACGAATCCATCTTATTCCCCCCTTTACTCCAGCCCCTCTTATCATTTCTCCTTGCTGCCAGCTTTCCCATACCAAGAAAGTATCTGCGCTCTGCAGATGACTAAAGAGACTCAAAGGAACAAATACCTAACAGCACAATTCCAGCAGAATGAAAAATAAACGGGGAGCCATGTGAGAAGAACCCCCCTACCCATGTCTTTCTCCAATACCTCAAACCGGCCACTCACCTCATCCTCCCAGTACCACCTGCAAACACGCCCTTCTCCCCCTTTGCAAACCGGAGCATGACTGGACCTTTAAATGGAAGAAAAGTGCTTTATCATGTTCTGCTTCTCCATGCAAAACCAGAAACTCCCTTCCCCCTCCTGCCTCCTCCCCAGCACACTCTCCTTCCAGTAAAACATGGTTAAAGGGACAGCGCCATCACTTCTCCAGCTCCAAGGGTCTACCTAGAACTAGGAGGCTGGGAATGAGGCAAAGGGCAAAAAGAAAAGAAATGACAGAGGTCTTTGGGGGTGGGAGAATCTATTTATCTGTCCAGATAATGGAGATCCCAATAGAAAAAAAGCAGAAGTAACTTGGGGTGCAGTGGGGGTTGCGATAATTGCCTTGGTGAGGTTCAAATCTGGGAGGGGTGTTTATGATTCCCATAGGTTGTCAGGGCTCCTGGGACTGCTGGTGGTCCTTTCAACTCCAGTGAAGGAAGGGAACAGCCCAGGTTCACGTGGAGAACTTCACAGAAAACGGGACTAGATCCCTAACAGAATGTTCAGGGATGGATCCCTGCCGGATCATTCACCCACCCTCTCCTCAGTTCCCATCTGCACAGCACAGAGGGTACAGCTAGAGAGGTCTAGCACGTCTCCCTCCGCTCCGCCCAAGGTAAAGGCAGAGATTTACCCATTCTCCCCTGCAAAGAGTAGGCTCTGTCCCCGGTGCTGAAACGACCGCTGCAACACCACCCCCACTCCCAAGGTATCTGACATAAACCAAAAAGAAAGTCCCACAACTAAGCAGTGGCAGGTCCACTAAATCTGCGGGGCCCCTTCTTAACTCCCCAGTAAGGCTTATGGTAGTGAGGGACTTTGGTACTGAGAAAGGTTTCTGCCACTTTTTTTGAGAGTGAAAAGGGGTGCCTCAGATATGTCCGTTTGTCTGTCCCGGGGGTGGGGGAGAGATGACAAGCTGAAGCCGAGGAGACGGGGAACTGCGGGGAGGGAGAAAGATGTACTTCTTGGCTGTGGAAAAACGGCTGCTATATCCACAGACGGTATGTGGCTTCCCCTCCCCCGGGTTAGCTGCAGACCTCCAAAGCGGAAGCTCCTGCTGCAGTTGGGGGTCTGAAGTTGCAGCGTGTCCCCAGGGAGACACCTAGTTGTACACATGGGAAAACCAAGCCTGGCAGAAAACAACTTGCCCAAGGTCAATCCGCCAGTAAACTTCAGAGCTGACCCCAGCATGCAGAACCCGGCGTGGATGTTCTCTGCCTCATACTCACCTCAGTGTCCTATCCCTTGCCTGAGAGTCCCCCTCCCTGGGGCTGGGTGGTCTTCCATTTCCAATCCTAGGGGTCACTGGAGACTTTTTGGCAACAGTGTCCCCTCTCCCCTCCCAGGAATCCCTTTCTCCATCCACTGCAGTGTCTCCCATTGCCCCATTCAAGGTGGCCTGCTGTCCTTCCCAGTTCCAGGTCCCCCTCCCCTATTCCGGAGCCGTCTGCAAAGTTCCTTGAGCCCTCTCCCGGTGGCCGCCCTGGCTATTAGAGGAACGCCGTGTCTGCGGCAAGGGGTCCTCCATCTATCCTCCGTAGCTCTGAAGCGTTCACCATGGCCCCATGCAGGACTGTCTTACTTCCTCTCCTATTCCGGGCCGGCGGCAGAATCTCTGCACCCCCTTTCCCGAGGGCCTCATAACTACTCAGAAAACCTTGTGATCTCTCTCTGCTAGGCGTACTCTCAGTTTAAAGATTGCAGTCTTCCATCCTCCATCCCGAAGGTGTCCTGCCCCTATTTTCTCGTCCTCTATTTCAGCTCCCCTCTCTCATTCCGAGCACCCTAGCAGGGTCTTCCGACCTGTACCCGGAGGTCCCCACTAATCCACTCCGGAAGTCCCCCACCCCCTGCCCCGACCTCAGGAGGCTCCTCTAACGCTGCGGCGATTCCCCCCTTGCTCCTCGGCGCCCCTGCCCCGCCCCTCACTGCGGCGGAGCCGGTCGGACCGGGCCGCGGGGGAGGAGGTGGAGAGGGCGGGGCCCTGCTCCCCAGCCCCCCACTGCCAAGGGGCTGGACCAGGCCGCGAAGAGTATAAAAGGGCCGGGCGGTCCCGGAGCTGCCGCAGTGCCACCCGCCCTGTCCCGGCCCGCGCTCCGGCTCCGCCGGCGGCCCGCACCTGCTCCGGCCATGATGAGCTTCAGCGGCGCGGACGCGCTGCTGGGCGCCCCGTTTGCGCCGCTGCATGGAGGCGGCGGCCTGCACTACGCGCTGGCCCGCAAGGGCGGGACGCGCTCCGGCACCGGCTCCTCCAGCGGCTTCCACTCGTGGGCGCGGACGTCCGTGAGCTCCGTGTCGGCCTCGCCAAGCCGCTTCCGTGGTGCCGGCGCCGCTTCGAGCACCGACTCTCTAGACACGCTGAGCAACGGGCCGGAGGGCTGCGTGGTGGCGGCGGCGGCGGCACGCAGCGAGAAGGAGCAGCTGCAGGCCCTGAACGACCGCTTCGCGGGCTACATCGACAAGGTGCGGCAGCTCGAGGCGCACAACCGCAGCCTGGAGGGCGAGGCGGCGGCGCTGCGGCAGCAGCAGGCGGGCCGCGCCGCCATGGGTGAGCTGTATGAGCGCGAGGTGCGCGAGATGCGCGGCGTCGTGTTGCGCCTGGGCACGGCGCGCGGTCAGCTGCGCCTGGAGCAGGAGCACCTGCTCGAGGACATCGCACACGTGCGCCAGCGCCTCGACGACGAGGCCCGGCAGCGCGAGGAGGCTGAAGCAGCGGCGCGCGCACTCGCGCGTTTCGCGCAGGAGGCCGAGGCGGCACGAGTCGAGCTGCAGAAGAAGGCGCAGGCACTGCAGGAGGAGTGCGGCTACCTACGGCGCCACCACCAGGAAGAGGTGGGCGAGCTGCTCGGCCAGATCCAGGGCTGCGGGGCCGCGCAGGCGCAAGCGCAGGCCGAGGCGCGCGACGCTCTCAAGTGCGACGTGACGTCGGCGCTACGCGAGATCCGCGCTCAGCTCGAAGGCCATGCGGTGCAGAGCACGCTGCAGTCGGAGGAGTGGTTCCGAGGTGCGCATGTGTGCGGGGGTTGGGGAGGGGTGCCCCCTGCTGTCCAAGCCTTAAACTGCTGGGTGGGTTGATCTGAGAGGGAGATTTAGCGATCTCCGCATGGAGTTACTGTAGCGGAGGGGAGAGCTGTTCGGCTTCCCTTTGCAAAACCATGTCCTCTACTCAAGTAGTGGTTTGACTTTGGCTTTCTTGTGGGTTGCCCCCAACTTTCGTTCTCCTTTGGTTGCCCTCTTCCAAAGGTCTGTACTTGAACTCTGGGTCTCCTCTCCTCTCCACTGTAAGTTAGGCAAGGAAATGTACTACCATCCTCCCATCAAGAAAACAACAGGCTCCTTCTAGATCTAGAGCAGCACTGGCGTCTGGACCGCAGCTCCTGTCTTCCCTGCCAACTCTTCCCATCCCCCTTTCCTGCGCCCTGCGGAAGGGACCCCATTAGCCTTCTGACTCCTACCCAGCTCTTCCCCGCTGTCTGCTCAGCGCACAATCTGCAGTGTGGAATGAAAGGAGCGGACATTTTTACACCTTTTTTTTCCCGGGGTGGGACCACCACCACACTCCATGGCTTTGTGTGGCTGAGGCAGCTTTCAAGCGCTGAATATCTCCCTTTCTTTGTGGAAGCTGGGGACCTCCCAGGTCCCCCTCCCATCTTCCCAACTCGGTGCAGTCCTGAGTCAGCTAGACTGCAGCTGCCCTGAACCTGTGCTCAGGAGCTGCAGGGTGACCTTGACCGACACTGGCCCTCTGAGGTTTTCATTGCTTTTGGAGTTGAAAGAGCAGGGTAGACCAGCTGGCCTTTTGGGTGTTCCAGGATCTCTCCTGAAATTGTGAAACAATGCATTGTTCTGGGAGAGAGAATGCAGAGGTTTCAGTGATTTTTTTTGAACAAGTCTGTGAGAATCCTCACCCACATGGATGATTTAGAAGTTTTTGTCTGCAATAGTAGAAAAAGCTGGGAATGCTGGGATTTGGCATTCTCTGTTCCTTTTCCATCTCTCTGCAGTGTCAGAACCATCCCCTCCTCCATCTCTGCAGCAAGGTCCCTCCCAGAGGGGACCTCTCTTCTTTTGGGTTCACCCTTCACTCAGGTAGACAGACCATCTTGGAACGTGTGGGTCTACCATGTGGCTTTCCTCCACCAAGACTCAAGCCATTATCTGGGGACTCAGGATTTTCACTTTCAGGAGATGTGGGCTAGTCTTCAGACCTTTACTGGCCACTACAAGATCTTCTGAGAACCAGGTGCTGGTTGCTGACAGGGGCCAGGGTGTGGCTGCCATTGACTCTGGCACTTGTGCTAAAGAATGTGCAGCAAAAAAAAAAAAAAGAATATGCAGTCCGCTGGAAGAAGGGACAAAAGGGCTGGAATGCAGGCCTCTGCTCTGCAGTGACCTTGGACTCTGCGCAAAAGCCTGCAAGGAAGATACAGTACTCTGGCTCCATGGTGACCTGATTGCTCAGAGCTCCCATGTTTCCAAAGGTCACCAGCTCATTAACTTGTTCAAGCACAAGCCTCCAGCTTCCGAGCTCATTGTTCAGCCTCAAGGGCCAGATTTCACACCTGAACCTGCAGCTGTGCCAGTCCCTTGCTGGGGAGCTGGACCAGGCATTGGGACAGAAAAGGGGGCTTCCTTTCCCCTGCAGGGTTTATGGATCCCAAGTAGCAAGTGTGAATCTGATCTTTGGAGCTAGACATCAGATTTGAATCCTACTCTGCCGCTCACTAGCTGGGTGGCCTTGGGCAGAAGACACTTGCCTGTCTCATAGTATGTGGTGAGTTGAGCAAACAGGATGGTGCCTGGCACCCAGTAGGTCCTCAAGTCATGTGCATCACCTTGTGGCTCTAGGCATTAGAACCCGAATCCAGGTGTGTCTAACCCTGTTCTGATCCTCTCCATACAGTACGGCTGGACCGACTGTCAGAGGCAGCCAAGGTGAACACAGATGCCATGCGCTCAGCACAGGAGGAGATCACTGAGTACCGGCGCCAGCTGCAGGCCAGGACCACAGAGCTGGAGGCCCTGAAAAGCACGAAGGATTCGCTGGAGAGGCAGCGCTCTGAGCTGGAGGACCGGCATCAAGCTGACATTGCATCCTACCAGGTGGGCAGGGGTAGGGTCAGACTGCCTCACCCAAGTGGGTGACCCTGGATAAGTCACTGCCCCTCTCTGAGCAAGGATATAGTGGTTAAGACTGTGGGCCTTGGAGTCACACATACCAGTACTTAATAGCTGTGTAACTAGGAGAGCCATTTGCTTGCCTGAATTTGAATGCCTTCTCTATAATGAAGATAAAACACCTGCTTTGCGGAGCTGTGAACATTAAAGAGACAAACAGGCTTTAAAGTGCTCAGCGGGATTTGGGTCACGGTAGACATTTGGTTAATAGTAGCCAGTGTCTGTAGGTAGTTTGGGGAAGACCTGGTCATTTAATTAAAGGTAACAGGTGAGAAAAAGAAATGTTATATCCTGTACAGGTACAAATTCTCTATAAATGTGATCATTATGTATACCTAAAATGTACCAATAAAATCTGATTAGAAAAGAAAAAAAAGACAACAGATAAGAGAAAATGCCACTTCTGAAGCACTTAGAATATCAGTAGTAGGTGGTGACTGTAGAGATATTAAGGAAGAGACAAATAGAAAGGAGAAAATACAAAGCAGCCATAGTAGCTCACGTGAGCAGTGGCTGCAGTGGGCCTGGGGTGGAGGGAGAAGTCCCAGCTTGGGTTTAATGAGCTCCTGTGTGCTATTTTAGTCATCCGGTCATCAGTGATAGATACCTAGCAGGCCGTCACTGTGTGGCACATGCTTGGGGGGCACTGGAGAAATAACAGGGGGAAACGCCAGATTAGGTTCTGTTCCCACTGAGCACTTGGTGACTTCACATGATCTGTAAAAAATCACCTATTGTCCTACTGACCAGACCAGCATTTGATGTGCTTCGTTCCAGAGTTCTCCCCAGGCCCAAATTTTTGCTCCAGATGTTTCTTTATCCACAAATGAGAACCCTGCAGCTTTGACAGGATGGGGTTTTGTCCCCAGGGAGCCTGGCTGGGCAGGGCAGCTGGTCTAATTTCCTGGTGCTGCAGGCCAGGCACTGGCTGGCGGGTGACGTGGTTGACCTCTCATCCCCAGGATGCCATTCAGCAGCTAGACAGTGAGCTGAGGAACACCAAGTGGGAGATGGCAGCCCAGCTCCGAGAGTACCAGGACCTGCTCAACGTCAAGATGGCCCTGGATATTGAGATTGCTGCGTATAGGTGAGCTGGGCCGGGAGCCTTCGGATGGTGGAGAACACTGTGTTCTGATGAGATGCTAAACC